GTGTGTGTGTGTGTGTGTGTGTGTGTGTGTGTGTGTGTGTGTGTGTGTGCGCGTACTCGTGCGTGCGTGCGTGCGGGTGTGGTTGTTATTTGTGTATTGGGTGGTATAAAACTGGCAGTCCGAAGGTATTCCCAAATGTTTTTCACTACAAACTAAATTTTCCTTTTGGAAAAGGTTCTTAAAATGTTGTTTCACACCATTTATGTATTAAAATACATTTCAAATTATTGGTCAGAATTATTCAAACTACGAATGAATGTGTTCAAAAGCGTTGAACTTGTAGAGAAATAGCGCCCGGATCGACGAAGAACCGGTAACGCGGGAAATAAATATTTTGTCGTGAAATATTTTGTCACGAGGACATCGTCCGTGGCACGCGTCGGTATCACGCTATTTTCGCGTGATTTCCGCCCCGCGAGGTGTTAACCCGTGCGATAGTCGAAACACTACGAGCCAGTCGGTCGCGTCGTACCCTTTCGATTGGGTAATCATGAACGAGACTCACCTTTCTTATAGACACAGGTGTTTCTGCCCTTTTCGAAAACCCGGTGAAAAGGGCCATATTGGTAAGAACTTAAGGAATCTCGCAGCCGAAATACGGACTAAATACCCGAGTTTATCTGAAACAGCGAAAATTTACGATTCTTGCAGGAAAAAAGTTTATGAAGAAATAAAAGCAGAAAAGGTTTCATTTTCACAAGAAGCATCTCATGCTGATGCAATTATAAATTCGAATATAGGGAGTACACTAAAAGACGATTCAACAAAATCCAGAGAGGAGGATGTTGAAGAATTTTTACAAGGAATCAAAGATCATTTTCATAATCTTCAAGATAATGCACAGCGTATTCAAATCCTAACAATGGCGCCTTTGTCTTGGAGCGTTAATAAAGTTGCAACGGAATTTAATTGTTCATGGCGATTGGCAAATAATGCAAGAAGATTACGAGAAGAACGTGGCATGTTGGCATCTCCTGTAGCAAAAGCTGGAAAATATCTTTCTGAAAATATCCTTAAAGACGTTGAAAATTTTTATCAGTCAGATGAAAATAGTAGACAAATGCCTGGAATGAAAGATGCGGTCACTATAATAGTTGATGATGAAAAAAGAAAAGTTCAAAAAAGGCTACTTCTTTATAATTTAAATGATCTGTATACACATTTTATGCGTGAAAAAAATGATGATACCATTAGCTTCAGTAAATTTGCCAAATTGCGCCCGAGAAACTGTATCCTTGCAGGTGCGAGTGGCACTTATAGCGTATGTGTGTGCACCATTCATCAAAATTGCAAGTTGATGCTAGATGCAATAAATATATCTCAATTAATGCGCCACTCAGAATATTCAATACACGACTATAAAGATTGCATAAATTTGCTAATGTGTAAAAATCCAAGTATTGCATGCCATTTCAATGAATGTTCAGAATGTCCTAGTGAACAAGTCCTTTTTGATATTGTGGAAGAACTTCTCAGTAAGTCTTTAGTTACTGCCGTTCTTTTCAGTACTTGGCAAACCACTGACAGAGCCACGTTGAACACACAAAAGCTTCCCGTCGAAGAGTTTCTAACACACTTGACTTTAAAACTCAAACAATTGAAGCCTCATGACTTTATTGCTAAGGAGCAAGCAAAATTTATGAGTCTGAAAAAAGATAACCTCGTAGAAGGTGAGGTGTTAATTCAACTAGATTTTGCTGAAAATTATGCATTCGTCGTGCAGGATGCGGTACAAGCTTTTCATTTTAATAATGATCAGTGCACTGTACATACGATTGTATACTACTATCTTGCTGAAAAAGAACTGAAACATCGATCTATGGTAGTCTTGTCGGATTGTTTAGCTCATGACACCGTTGCCGTGTATATAATTCAAAAAATGTTGTTAAAAGAAATTCAACAACGATGTACAATTAAAAATGTACTCTATTTCACCGACGGTGCAAAACAACATTTTAAAAATCGTTTCCAAATGGCAAATTTAATGTATCACAAAGAAGATTTCGGAATAAAGGCGGAGTGGCATTTTCACGCGACAGCCCATGGCAAAGGAGGCTACGATGGTGTCGGTGCTGCCTTTAAGAGAGAAGCAACTCGAGCAAGTTTGCAGGCGCAAGCACCAAATGCCATTCTTACGCCGAAAAGTTTATTCGAATGGGCTCAGGATAGATTCGAAAATATTGATGTACTTTTTTACAGTAAACAAGCCCATACGAAAATGATCGCGCATCTTAACAAACGATTTAAAGCTGCACTGGCCATTCCCAGTATTCAAAAATGTCACACATTTATTCCATTACATGGAAAAAAGTTGATGATAAAAAAGTTTTCAACGGCAACAGACAACGTTATTTTTTCGTACAAATAATTTAAAATAAAGCTTCACATTAAGTGATTCATATTAAATATGTGGGAAATGTAGGATAAAATAATTTGAATACAATATTGGGTACAAGGGCTAATATCCTACAATGAAATAGATGAATCAATTTTTTTTATTATGATTGACAAATTTGCTCGACGTTCCGCACCAACTTAGGTCCTTCTTCAGGAGCGTGGGATTAACCAGCCAGGAACAACTAATTAATATTAACTTCAAACAAATTTAATTAAATTCAAACGAAAATAAACGTAAAAAAAGGTAAAAATCACAAAAATTACAAAAAAAATTTAAAAAAATTAAAAAAAAAACAAGAAAAAGAAAGTGGGACCATCTACCACTACGTCCTCGCCGTGGTCCTGGGACAAGCTGAACGTGGTAAACATAACATATCTCCGTAATCCCCCGAATAATGAGAATCGTTTAAGTAAATTTAGGTTTTCGGTTTTTCATCCGCCATTTTTTATCCGCCATTTTGGATTATGAAAATTCGTATTCAGCGATCTCCGTAATCCCCTGAATAATGAGAATCATTCAAGTAAACTTTAATTTTAGGTTTTTTATCCGCCATTTTGCATCCACCATTTTGAATTTTGAAAATCTGACGATGGATTCGTAATCAGCGAACCCAAAAACACCCTAAATGGGTATTTCCTTTGTGATTAAAAAATTTTACAATTCTAATTCTACGATTTGGCCGCCGTATTGGATTCGCCATTTTGGATAATAAAAATGTGCACACGGCATTTGATAGCTCTTATTTTTTTATGAATTTTAAGCCGTTACTCGGCTTAAATAACTATAATTTTCATTGAAACCAATTTTGGGTAGGAGGGTTCACCGGTTGACGAAGAATGACCCATATATATCATTTAATTATATTTTTTAAATAAAGGTATGTATTTTAAAACTAAAATAAGTGTTCCTGAAAAAAAATATGATAATTACTGTTATTTGTTCAAGTATAAAACTAATGGTAAAATAAAAACTGTATTTTTTGCATATTTTATCCGTATCCATATATTATAAAACATGTGACAACTAATCCCGGAACGTGTGACAATTAACCCCGAGTATGGGGTAAAATGTCACATTTGCATAGCTTTACTTAAAATTAAATAATTTATTTGTACGATGACATATATGTCAAAATAATATTTTTTTTAATACCTAAAGGATGTAGGTATATTATAACGTACATAATATTTTAAAATCTTACATACGAGGTGTGGCTATTAAATAACGAGACTGCCGCTGCTACAGAAGAAGTACGCATGCGCCAAACGCCAGCGACCGACAGCTGTTTAGCGTGAATGAAGCCTTCTCTTTCGAATGCAGTACCTCTCGCTTCTGTAAACAAATCCGTATAGCCGTAGCCTTCGTTCGCATTAGAGTTGTTTTTTTTGTTTCGCCGGAAAAATGGTAAGTGTAACAATAGAGCAAGAAATTGTTGTGAAATTTCACGTGAAATTTGGAAAAACCGCTACTGAAACTTATAATTTATTGAAACAAGTGTATGGCCATGAATGTTTATCGCGTGCACGTGTTTTTGAGTGGTTTAAGCGTTTTCAAGATGGCCGAAAAGACGTTGAAGATGATTCACGCCCGGGTCGCCCTTCCACGTCAAAAACGGACGTCAATATCGAAACAATCGGTCAAACTATTAATCAACATTACTACCTTCACGTTCTTGCTGAATTCTGTGAAAAAATAAAGAAAAAACGACCCGAATTGTGGAAAGACAAGTCATGGGTTCTCCACCAAGACAATGCGCCGTCTCATTCCGCATTGTCTGTCAAGAGGTTTCTAGCCAAGTACAGCATCCCAGTGTTAGACCATCCGCCTTATTCGCCGGATCTTGCACCATGCGACTTCTATCTGTTTCCTAAGGTGAAATCTGCATTAAAAGGAACAAGATTTGAGTCTGTTGAAGCTATGAAAGAGAAAGCGGCACGCGTCCTGAAGGAGCTGACAGAAGAAGACTTTCCAGCACTGTTTCAAACAATAGAAGATTCGCATGGAGCGTTGTAGGGATAGAGGAGGGGTGTATATTGAAGGTGATAATAAGTAAATATGTATGAAATCAAAATAAAATGTTTTACAGCGTCAGTCTCGTTATTTAATAGCCACACCTCGTACTGTTTTCTAAAAATCATTAAATAAAAATTGTGACAACCTGCCCCGGTCTCCCTTACATACTCGATCAAAATAAAATGTACTGATAATACGGAGCTTGATTTCAATATGATGGCAAAGAGATAAAATAATCACTTTGACATATTTTATCCACTATATGTATGAGTAGTTTCTGAGAAAGTATGGTGATGGGGGCTCATTGGTAACAGGGTAAAATGAAGCAGACACTGTAACTATGCGTGATATCCCATGTAAATCTGAGAAAGATTCCAAAGCTGTATGTAAAGTAACAAGTACGAAAAAAGGAGTTCTCGTTACAACATGTTGTATTATCCGTGCTGATGGAAATTATTTACCACCTGTTCTGATATTTCCTCGGGTCAATTTCCGCGGTCACATGATGGTCGGTGCTCCGCATAACTCTTTGGGTTTAGCCACTCCATCAGGCTGGATGAATACTCAACTCTTTGTTCAAACAATGCAACATTTTATAAAATTTTCATACAGTACAAAGGATAACCCATCACTTTTGATTTATGATAACTATGAGAGTCACATAAATTTAGACGTCTTCGAGTTAGCAAAAGCAAATGATGTTCACATTTTGACACTACTCCGCATTCAATACATCGAATGCAGCCCCTTGATGTTGACCTATACAGTCCATTCCAAAAGTTTTACAATACTGCTATCGATTCATGGATGATGAGTCATCCAGGGAAAACTGTATCAATTTATGAAATAGCTAGATTTGTCGGCACAGCCCTGACACGTGCTATGACACCAAATAATATCATTCATGCCTTTAAAAAGACTGGTATTTTTCTTATAACTCACATGCATTCAGCGATGATGATTTTCTCACGAATTTAGTTTCAGAACGGCCCCATGCAACAGATATGTCTACAGAGGAAATGGACAATGTAACAGGTTTATCATCTTCTCCATGTAACAAATGTTGTAGCATATAATGACTAATCACGTGTTACTAAAGTATCTTTACCTATGTATTATTTCTTAAATATCTTAATCATTTATCAATATCTTATAAAATATCTTTTTGAAAAAAAAATCTCTTTATTTTTATGATCGCGATCTCGTGAGAATCGTCCGCGACTTGACCATTAGAAAGGTGCTTTGGAGCCAGACTTGTGCCTTTAATGACATATTTATTGACTTTCTAGTCGTGGCGTGCAAGGAGGGCTTCTATATTATCCTTTTTGGTCTCGCCGCTCGCGCACGTGCACGGATTTTTAATTATTCTAAAGTGACATTTACAAGGAGATACTGGAGTCTTCGTTTTAGTTTTCCGTGAGAAAAGATTTTTATTACTTTTTAAGCTTTTAATGGCATAAAAAAATTACAACTGTCTTTATATTCTGACAGACTCCAGATCTGTGCATGAAAGAAAAGAGTCGTGGAAGTCCGCTGGATGTAACATTTCTAAGAGTTATCTTTTTAATTGATGAATTGCGATTTTGTTAGCCTTATCCTTTTTTACTCTGGCACGAAGCTAACAAAACGTATCGTTCAATGCTTCGGGCCAACATATTACAACGTACTGCAATTTCGATTATTTGCATCAGTAGAGACGTGTCAGATGATCATTAATAGAACCTAAAGATGATCATTAATAGAACCTAAAGATCTTTAACATGAAGGCGACAGATCGAAAGTAATTTAAAGATAAGAGAATGATGAACAAAGGAGCCTCGCGAAGTAAATGAACAATTTTATGCATTGCATTTATTTCCTTCTGTATCACTATAAGTTGGTTTGTTGAGACAGCTCCAAACAGGATCTAACTTGGAAAGTTTCTGAGAGATTTACTCTTTTAACTTTATGTCTCTCTCTCTCTCTCTCTCTCCCCCTCTCTCTCTCCCCCTTCTCTTTGGTATGCTTTTATAGAAATCATCAGTCAGTCAGATAAATTAACGAGATAAATACTCACCTTTTCTCCTTTCGTTGCTGTTTCTTCTTCTTGAATGCTTTTTTCACTCGTAGAAGTAAAAAAGCGGCGCGATCGATGGTCAAGCCTGATGAAGCCTTATCACCACTTGACATTCTGTGTCCGAATCTTCCCAATACCTATAAACATGTTCAAGAATGTTATTAACGTTCTAAATGTTTACTTGTTAAAATCTAAGTTTAATTTTTCTCATCTATTTTAATTTTTAATGATACAATTTATCTAATTTGATATTAATAAAAGTTTTTCTTAAAATGGGTTTTTAATTCTCTTTTTTTTAAATGAATCGTTAATTCTATAAATTGTTTTGAATTACAAATAATAGAATGTAGAAGACAGAATATAAATAAATAGGTCTTTTCGCAGAGTCAAAGATGCGTAAATCAACTCTTTAGTCATATTTATTATCAGATATCCATCATGACGCAAACATATCGTACATCGCTTATAGATGTCGCAAATGGATAAATTTGGGGACCGATTATTGGTCCTGTAATCTCGATTTGTAAGCATTTTTCGGTAGCAATTATTTGGTGCTATGACGCGGATTGCCATCATTACTTCGATAATCTATCTGTTTGCTCACATTAATACACTTCGCCACATATGCCTAATTCAATTAGAGAATGACATGCTGGATTCTCTGAATTTTACCAAGTTTAAGCCATACTGCATTTGCGATTTATGTGAAATGACGAATATAATATCAATGCTTTAAATTGAAACCAATCTTGCAGTTGTGTTTCTTCTTCTGCCCCTGGTACTACAGACTCCATTGGTCCATGGCCTGATCCAACATTCTCCTGCACTCCTTCCTTTCCCTCACGAGACAGTATCCCTATCGATGCGTTACGAGACACATATCCTCAAGTATTCCCTCTATCTCTCGGTCTGCTTCTTGATCTAGTTTTGAAGGATGTGCTCTTGTACATATATCCCATAAATTTTTCTATTTTCTTCCATTCTATTTATAATAGATGACCAAATCACTTAAGTCTTTGTAGCTTAACATAGGCTAAGGGAGGTATATCGTCATATAGGCTATAAAGTTCACTGTTTCACTTCATACGCCATTTCCCATTCTCATTAGTCGGTCCGTAGATCCTTCTCAGTATTTTCCTATCAAAAATATCTAATCTGTTAATCTTATTTAATGTCAAATAAGAATTAAGATCCTACCATGTAAATGTACAACATACGAACGTTAGAGAGCGTCAATGATCGGTCAAAGTTAGATGTTATGAATACAATATATATTCTTAATTTTTTTTTCAATTTTAATTATATCAGATGTAACTGTGCGCCGAAACATTCGGACATTAACCACAATCGATCTGAGACGCTCGAGACGAAAAAATATAAATATTATTATGTCCTGCCGACATTAGTTTTATGCCGAAGTCATCCGTGAAGTATCGAAGATCGTTGCCTGGCGACGAGCATTTCAACTGTCTAACAACAAGATCTTCAGATTTGGATGTGAGTCGTCGCTGCGCTCGGACGTGTCTCTCGATCCGCTTCTATGCTGATCGATCGGTGTGTTCTAAGTTCTGCTTGTGTGTTTTGTGTTCTTTCATCAATAAACGTTTCTTGTCCTTTTCATAATATTCGTGTTTTTCATTTCCGCAGATCGGGAGTGCGTGAACGTGTTCGCGAGAGCGTTTCTGCGGGTCGGACGTACGGACGCACTTTGGAAGCATTTGATATTATCTTGCTTTTCGACATCCTACTTAACGCATAATAAGATCCCAGGCCTGTTGTAATACTATACGTTATCTACCTTGTTTCATCATTCCTATTGTTTATGTTGTTCCTCTAAATATGAAAAAGAAGTTTATCTCATGCCATCACCACGACTTTGGACTTTTCTACATTTACCTCCAGTCCTACTTGTTTGCCACTCCTTTCCAATTAAATGAATGCATCCACCATACACTAAGAACGTCTAATGATCGCTATGTCGTCCGCACATCCTGGGATTTATTAAAAATCATATCAGTGCGGATATCCAAGTTGGAGTCGTGCATAATCTCCTGTAGAACAATGTTAAAGAACAGGAGGATACCAGCTCATCCCCTTGACATAAACCGTACTTGAAATTCCTATGAGACCATGTTGTTGCATTTGACAATACATATGGTTCGTCCCATGGTTATTTTTGTGAGATTAATTAGCTTTCTTGGTATAAATAATTCTGCCATATCTGAATAGACAGAATCTCTGTAGATGCTATCGTAAGCTGCCGTGAAGTCCACAAACATGTATCACAGGATCAGCCCGAACTCCATTGCCTTTTCATTAATTTGCTTTATTCCAAATATCCGATCTATCGTTGATCTACCATATCGTTGATCTAACGTATGATTAGCCTTAACATTGGTAATCTCCAATTCTTTCTTTCACATAAGACACCAGCTTATTATATATGAGTGTGGAAAGGATCTTGTACACCACACATAGAAGACATATCCTCGGAGCATGTCATTTTATCCGCTTTCTTCTAAATTGGAACTAGAGATGCGCAAGAGATGAGATAATTCTCGAAAATCGAGACGAGATTCGAGACTGAGTTCACTTAACGTACCGAGATCTAGCATAACGAGATCGAGATTATTTAAAATTTTCGTCGAGCTCTCGTCGAGATCTCAACAACATCAAACAAAAAAATTTTCACCTGAAAATGGAATTATTATTATTGTTTTCATGCACGATTTCAGCGACGAGAATACTTCAAAGGCAATGTCGGAACGAAACAACTACGTTTTACGTTTTTTGCGATTTTCTCCAAAAGGAAGCAAAAACTCTAGCATATCTTTACAGGACTTTTTTCTTAGTTAATCGATTCTCTATACGCTCCCGAAGTTTAGACATTTAAACTCGGGACAACCTGTATAAGACTCGACTGTGAAAGGAAAAAATACCGATCATAGAAACACTGCATTATTTCAAATATCACATAAATATATAATGTAAGTGCACGCAGCAATAAAAATATCG